CACTGCAATTTCCCTCACGGGATCAATAAAGTATCTATCTATTTAACAAGCTGTTGCACAGCTTGAATTGAATTACCACACCTGATCTACACATCATGTAACCTTGACATACAGTACATTACAGAAAGCTGATCTCTTCTGGTTGTGAATCCTGGGTGAAATTAATCACAGTAATGTCACTGATTTTTAACAGTCCTAGGTCATTCCCCCTTTCTCTTTGCCCTTTGAGGGCATTTGTAACTGGTAGCTGTTCAACTAACATAGCATGAAACCCTTCCAACAGATCTGTTGACTTTGGCCCTTCTGTTGTTCGAGATGGCAAACATAACAATCCATGAATTTCAAAGCATTCCTGCTCAATATTTTCTGAGTCTCTGTCATATTCAATCTCTTCTGAGTCATTTTGTGCATGTTTGCAGTTTTGCATTTCTTTCTCTGATCCATATGCTGTTTATGTGCTTTTTGTCTGCCTTGAACTCGCTTGCTTGTATTTTCTACAGTCTCTCTTTTTGAGCAGTCAATTGCATCACATGATATCTTGCCACAGCAAAAACATAATTGTCTCTTTGTTTTATTGACATTTTGTTTATTACACTACCAACCAGCTTTTTGTTGCAATCCGGATGCAGCTTTTGGAGCAGACTCCATTGATACTGCACATATTCAGCTAGTGATCCAAAGTAAAATCTCTTTCTGAGAGCAACTTCTTTCGTGTGCTGTGACTATGCATTACACATACGAGCCTGTTCCACAATGCGTCAGACAATCACACATGTTTTCCGCAATGTTTTTTTAACCTACTCACACTCTCTGATATACTTTCCACTTTTCAACTGGTTTCCTTTTTGATATTTGAATCTGTCAGTTAGTACCAACATTCTTGGATTTAAATGATAAGTTTCAACTGCCTACTTGCATGTTTTTGATCTTCACTGTTTTGGCCGTAGCAAACTGCACAGTAAACTGAACATTTTGGCTCCCATAGAAACACCAAAACATTTTTTCATTCTCTAGATCATTTACTGCACAATAAAGGTCAACTTTCTCAAAGTAAGTTATCCAATCCTCAATAGCATTATCAAAAGTATTAATATATTAATTACAGTGGTGTGAAAAAGTGTTTGCCCCCTTCCTGATTTCTTATTTTTTTGCATGTTTGTCACACTGAAATGTTTCAGATCAAACAAATTGAAATATTAGACAAAGATAACACAAGTAAACACAAAATGCAGTTTTTAAATGAAGGTTTTTATTATTGAGGAGAAAAAAATCCAAACCTACATGGCCCTGTGTGAAAAAGTGATTGCCCCCTAAACCCAATTGGGCCACCCTTAGCAGCAACAACTGCAATCAAGCATTTGCGATAACTGGCAATGAGTCTTTTACAGCGCTGTGGAGGAATTTCTGGCCCACTCATCTTTGCAGAATTGTTGTAATTCAGCCACATTGGAGGGCTTTCGAGCCTTAACC